TTATAAATAGTACGTATTTTTATGAAAAATAACTTTTCAAAACAAAAAATAGAAAAGTGGCATTGTATTACATTTTGGCAAATATCTTTAATGTGTGGCTTAATAGATGACAATTGTATTTTCATGTCGCCTTCTGCATTTAATCTTATACACTCATGAAAGAATGAGATTTTTAAAAAGGCATATAACATCTTAGTATTGCGATGAAAATGTTTCAGGCCTGGACCACCAAAAGAGTCTTTAGCTCCCTCAGGAGCCCCCAGACCGTGCTTTGAGGCTCTCTGATTTACAAAATAGAACAAAGGAAAAATGAAAAATTATTATTAGTAGATGTGTGGCATGAAACATGGGGATGCAGTTCACTGCTTATTAGTGGGCTGTTAGGGTTCGTGTGTATGGTTACCTAACCTGCAACATTGTGGAATCCTCATGTGGGAGACAGATTAATAGGTATAAAATGTCGCTTGGGTCTTACATTGTGCTGTCTCATGTAGAGCTAGGGGTTGAGAATAAGTTGGAGCATGCTGCAGTGCAGTTCTGAGTTCAGTTATGTGAGCCATGTGGTGTAATTCAGGTTCTCTAGGTGGGAAAAGGCTTTTGCTCTCCATGGGGAGTTGGAGTAGTGACTGAAAAAGAGCTCTGTGAAGTTGGAAGCTTCACACATTGCTGCTGAGAATGGAAAACAGTCTGGCAGTTCCTCAAAAGGTTAAACATAGATTGCTGTATGACCCGGCAAATTCACTCCTGGGTATACACTCAAAAGAAATTGAAATATATGTCCACATGAAAACATGCATATGAATGTTCTTAGCAGCTTTATTCATAGTAGCCAAAAAATGGAAACAACCTAAATGTCTGTGGACTGACACATGGATAAACAAAATATGGTATATCCATAAATGGAATATTATTCAGCTGTAAAAAGGAATGAGGTACTGATATATGCTACAACATGGATGAACCTTGAAAATATTATTCTAAGTGAAAGAAGGCAAACTCATACCACATATTGTATGATTCTATTTACATGGAATGCCCAATACATGCAAATCTAAAGAGACAGAAAGTACTTTATTGGTTACCTAGGGCTGGGGAGAGTGGGAGGAATGCTACCTAAAGAATGTTTCTGCATATTGTGAATTTGTAATATCTGTTGTATGGTCAGTGGCTCCAAATAGGGACTCATAATTCTTAACGATATCAATATCAAAAACTCAGAAGGAGTTTCTCCCTTTTAAAGAACTAATGAGTTTCCTTTTTTGTTGTTGTTGTTTCTTTCCTTTGGTTACTTGTTAAGATCAGATAATGATACCACTGTTGCTAGTGTATCTTTTGGCCTTGGCTGCCAGGAAGTTCAGGGCTACATTTAATGCTCAATCATAGTAATTTTGTCAGCTAGGTTAGGCAACTAGTGTATTTTCGTTTCTTTTACACGTTTTGTTGTGGGTTTTTAAATTGTTTACACAGAAACATGCACAAAGTTAAAGTTAAGTATTTTATTGTAAAATGTGTATAGTCTTTATCAGTATCAATTGGGCTTTAAATTACAACACATGTAAAAAGTATAAGTGAAAAACTAGAGGCAGCTTTTGCCAAGATGGAAAAGAGTTCTTTCTGTGCAAAATGGCAACATTAGTTTTCAGGTATAAAAATGATACTTGAACGATCCTTGAACTAAGCTTTTAAACAAGAACTCCTAGACGCTGGCTCTGTTCAAGCAGATGCTGAATGATGGTCTGTCTGTAGATCCTACAGAGGTGAATCCTGTACTGGATGAGAGATCAGACTAAACATTGCCTTTAGAGTTCTCCCAGACTTAGTACTATCATTCTGTGGTTGAATTGGCAGTACAAGTTTCTGAGAATACAAAGCGCTAAGTAGTAATTTTAAAGTGGGTAATTGTTTTCTAAGAACTTGAGAGCTCAGAGTTCCAGACATAACACAAAAGAGATAATTTAGTGTGAAGATATTAGAACAGGGACTACCAGTACATTGCCTAAAGAACTCAGTGTATCTGTTGCTCTAAATGTGTACTTTCAATTGCACTGCAGCTCTGCTACAATGAATTAACTATAAAATGTACTGCTAAATATTGCTAGGGCGTTTAGAAAATGATGTATTTAAACATTACAGTATATGTTCCTGATAGAACTGTTGCATTTTAGTTTTAATAAGTTTCATTTTTTTTTTTACCATTTTTTCTAGTTTCATTGAGATGTAATTGGCACTTACATTGCATAAGTTTCGAGTGTATAACGTTATGGTTTGGTGTGTGTATGTATTGTGAAATTAAATTGCTCTTCTGAACAGTATTAGTCAATCCTTTCCTTATATCTGCTCCTGGTTAGAGTTTAAATAACAAAATACAAAACAAAACAAAAAAGTATCAGCATAAAGGAGGGGATAGCTGGCTAGCTAGACATCCTCCCTGAATCCCCCTCTGAAGGTCACCCATGTAAAGAATCTAAAAGCACCAGTTTTGCACCAATCAGGATTGGTGTTGTGAATCTATTCCTGCCCATTTTTATTCTTAATGTTATTATTAGCATTTAGGTTTTGCAGAGTTTCTTAATAGCCTAGCATCAAATAGAGATTATGTGTGTGGATCCATAAATACTATTTATTTATATTTAATGGACAATGAGTTGTGCACATCTGCCACACCTGAGCAATTAGAGCTATAGGAAGAAGTTAATTGTGTCTTTGTGAAATTCAGAAAGTTGCAAAATTCGTTTCTAGAAACCGGGTGATAATTCCTAGGAGGCTAGAGGCTTGCACGTGAGAGATTGCTGTCTAAAGGCCACGTATAGTACACATCGAATACGATAAAGCATGAAGAAAAAGCGTAAGGTCAGCTTCTTTGCATTTGTTTTATTCTGCCACATTCAGGGGTCCGAGTTTTAGTTGTGGGAAAATGCTTTTGAAAAGGAAAAGAGGAAGGAGAGAAGAGTGCAGAAGAAAAAAAGGAAGAAAGAGCCTCTGGATCAGAGGAAATTCACCAGTTGCATTTTGGGGCTGAATTTAAGACTGATAATTGGCCAATTAGTGTGGTTGGATGTAACATTTCATGTGCTGAGACACCAGCAGTGTTAATTTCTTAACATGAAGGTTTTTATAGGCATTCTTAGTTTTGTTCATTTGAAGAGGATGCGAAGTTCTTCAAGTCTGGAGTGATCCTGGTCGTCGAAAAGGAAGGTGAGATTCTGAGAGGATAAGGGCCAGTCCAAAGGGTGGGGAGGCAGCAGAGAACACGTGTGGGACGTTTCAGGTGTTCTCTGCTGGTCACAGACAGCTGTGAAAACCACCTAGTTATCTTTCTGCTGGTTGCCGAAACACATGAAATTCTGTCACAGAAGGTTAGACAGTCGTATGTTGTCGATTTCATGTTCTTGAGAAGCTCTAGAACTCTTGTCAAGGTTTGGTTGCAGAGAGTTTGGAAGGCATTCTTTGTCTTAAAAAGCCTATTGGGAGTAATTCTGATCCTGAGCATACCTCTGCCATTTGTGGTCTTTGGATTTTGGAGCATTAAACAACAGGAAGCATACTTTCTAATTTGATGGGGGAAGGTGTGTGGGGAAGGAGAAAGGGGGGAACTCACCAGTTTTTTCTCAGACTTATTTGGAGGACTGCTGAAAGAGAGATTTTGTGAATTGACTTCTTTTTGTTTCCTAAGTTGCCTTTAAGCAATTTTATAAAGAAATCTGGACTGGTTGGCTATTTTCTGGAATTAAAATAGTGGGAAAACTGCAATACCTTTCTTGGGTCTGAAATACAACCTCTTCCTTCCTTCCGAGATTACTATATGGGGTGAACCTTTCAAGTTATCTGAGGTTATTTAAATTCATGAAGGCATCACATAGAGAAGGAATAGTCTTGGATATAAGAAAGACAGTTGTTCCCATTGCACTCTTGAGGCACCTATGGGTAGCTTGGTCTACCATATAGTTCTCAAGTAAAGGATTAAAAAGCAACTCACTTCCTTGGGAAGGCTATTCATTGAACTATTATTCTCCTCTATTCGTTGTTGCCTATTCCTCTTTCTCAAAAGACAAAAATGTTGTTAAATATATGAACAAATGAAATAAATGTTTTGGGAAGGTAAAAGGATTCTTAAGATCTAAACAATAATCTTTGTCCCTTGGGCAACTGCAGAAAAGAATTGTGCTTGCTTCCACAGAGCATGCCTCAGTGGCCCAGTCACCTTGCTCAGCGTTTGCTGAGATGATCAGACACGTGGATGAGAGCTCTGTTCTTTTTCATCAGATTCTCCTACCCGGAAGGTAGAGGATGATGGAATGGAAGTATTAGGGAGGGAGAGAGGGGAGGAGATGAGAGAGAGAACTTTGAAAAATTATATGCAGTGTTTCATTATTTCTTTGCATTGGGAGGCAGTTCTCTACAGGTCTTTTACATATCTGCACATCTTGTGAGAAGAGGCACTTTGCTCTGGATGTCTTTTCAGGGATGTTTGTGTAGAGAACAACCTTGGATGGTAGAGCTAGTGTCTCCCTCTAGAGCGAAGGACGGGTTTCCTTAGTGTTCAGTATAATAAAGGTAATGTCTCCCTCCAGAACAAAGGGCAGGCGTACTTACTGCCCATTATAAAAAATTCGAGTTTCCTAAGCTCAGGGTTCCTGTCCTGTCATGCAGCACATTGAGTGTATAGGCATTATCTTCACATAGCTCTGTGGGAATTGAGGTTCAGGAAACTGATGCAAGTGCTAAGATTCTAGCTACTGCTATTGATGTGTGTACTAAATTGTCCTTTGTCTCTGACCTAGGAGTGTCCTATTTTCTGCAAGGACCCATGAAACTGGCAGGCTGACTTGTTAGCTTGCAAGTATGGTGAAATCTCAGACCCTTTATATTCTTAATACTTTGGAATAATAATGATTTGTTAAGTAGGGTGTATTGGAAAGATTTATTGGAATTTATATTTCTAGTTTGTACAGCTTTTAAGAAGCTCATTTAGGATATTTTTTCTTCTTGCTTTGATATAGGGTTTGTTTATAATGTCAGCCCATATATGGAGTATCATCCTGGTGGAGAAGATGAACTCATGAGAGCAGCCGGATCAGATGGTACTGACCTTTTTGATCAGGTAAGATGCTGAAAGTAATCCGGCATTATAATGGAAGAGTGCTCTTAGATTTAGCACTGTGACAGTTGTAGAAAAAAAGAAAATAGTTGCATAAATTTCAGATGTGTTGGCTTGAATTTTGAAGTGTGGGAAGGTGCTCGTGAGTAACAACTGTTCCTTTAATTTGCCTTTGAATGATTTACTAAAATTTTAAATATGGCTTCAAATCTGTGTCTAGGAGTCTGCTCTTAAGTGCTTGCTGCCGCCTCCTCTGCTGGCAGCTGTTTACTCAGTTTTGATCAATTTTGATAATGATGATGATTGACTTATGAGAGGCAGTGACGATTAGAGGAAAGAACAAGTCACTTAACTTCTTTGCTCTTAGTCTTTTCTCGTTTGGAGACTGTTACATGGTCGGCATGTCTTGCTATGCTGAATCTGCTAGAGTAGTAGCCGAGATTCTGTGTGTATATGTCAATAGATATTTAAATTAGTCACTTTCCCCCTTATATTTACTAAAACAAACATTAGCTCTTGTACTATTTAAAAGTCATGTCGAATATGTTAATTACTGTCAATTGGCTGAACTGTTCTTTTGAACAACAGTCTTGGGAAGAATAGAAGTTTGCCTTTGTCTCACATATGCTTTATTTTGTATTTTAATGGTAATTGACTGTGTTAAGGTACTGGGGTTTTACCATTCGAGATACCTGAATCAGATTGGGTTATTTTTGGAGTTGTCTTCTAAACAAATATGATTTGATTTCTGTTTTTCCTAGCTTCTCATCTATTTTAGGATTTATTTTTTGTCCAAGTTACTAAAAATGTAGTTTGTTTGCTGTTTAAATGTGCTTAGATGCATCTGCTTAAATAGTAGAATGCCATTTGCTGTTAATGTTCTTCATGGGTTGGAGAAAAGTCGGGTTGGCCCACTGGTCATAATAGCATTCTCCTTGGGAGGTTCTTCTTGCTGACTAAAGGCAAATTCCCATTGTCATTTGGCATTTGTTTTTGTCTAGCAATACAAGCCAAATACAAAAGTTTGGGAACATGTGTCTGAAAACTTGTCTGCCATACTTCCTCTTCCATGTGTCCTGTAACCTCTCCATGCTGAATGTATTCTTCCACAAGAAGAATTGCCAGTAAATTCTCGTCCTATTTGTATTCCTCAGTGTAGTGAGGTTACAGAGACCTTATTTAAGTAACCTTGTGTTTGGGGGAGTCAGAAGAACTGCTGTGTTAAGCTCTTTAGCAGTTTAAACAATACTTCACTTACCAGATTGCTGCATTCCCCTTGGCTTTCGTAAGACCAGTAATGTTTATTTATGACTTTTACTCACCACAGAAGTAAACAACTTTATATTCTAGAAACTGTAGTGAAGCTTCTTATATCTTTAAATATTGAAGAATTTATTTGTGCCTAGTACAGTCACGAGCTGCTTAATGATGGGGATATGTTCTGAGAAATGCATTGTTAGGCGATTTCATCTTTGTGCGAACATCATAGAGTGAACTCACACAAACCTAGATGGCCCAGCCTACTACACACCGAGGCTGTATGGCACTAACCTGATGGGACGACCGTTGTATATGTGGTGTGTCATTGACTGAAACGTCATTATGTGCGCATGCCTGTATTTGAGTCGTATAGAGAATATTAAGTAATTTCTTTATTGTCACATTTCTGTCTCTAGTTTTGATCCCACTCCTGATCTCTTGTTTCGTATCTCCAAATGCTTGATGGGCGATTTGATAACCTGTTGGCACTTCAACACAGCGTGCCCTCAAATAATATCAACTTGTCTTCTTCCCTTTTTTTCCCCCGTTTCCTATTTCTGGTAGTGGGACTTGAAGCCACTTGAGTAATCTTTGCCTTCTCTCGTTGTGGCCCAGCATCCAGTCACTGCTGAATCCTGTGATACTGTCTTTAAACATTGCACCCTTCGCTCTTCCCACTGCCTTAGATCAAGTCATCATCACCCTCTCCAGCCCTATTTTTATACCGTCCTGAGATCTTTCCCTTCAGTACCAATTTAGATAAGGTCAGAGCTAGGTTAGTACTCTTAAAGAGTCATCTTAGCACCTTGCTCTGCAGCTTTCAGAGGCTCTCCAGTGACGGTGCAATAAATGTAAAGTCATTAGCTTGGCATTGGAGGCCCTAAAAAGACTGTATCAAGGTGAATATTCTCAACATGCATCTTACTTTGAGGAAACTGAAGTTCTTTGAGCAAATCGCCAGGGCTCTGATGGATAAACCCCATACCTTTACCTCCTTGAATATCTTTCTCCTTTGGCTCTCTGTTAACACTCTGCCCAACCCTGTATCCCCAGAGATGCTGCTGTACACATTATTGAGTGCTCCATAAATACTTGCTAAAAGAAATTTCAATTTATAATATTAAATGAGTGCCCATGTAGAATTATATATATATTTTTTACATATTTTCTATTTTAGTGTATATTTATTTACTTAGGAACATACGTCAAGATTCTGATATCAGAATTATTTGACCTGATTATTTTAGTGATTATATAGTATTTTATTGAATAACATATGATTTTCCTCTATGGGTCTTTTACAATTGGACATTAAGGTTGGTTGCAGTATTTTGCTAGTATAAAGAGTACTGTGATGAGCGTCCTGGTACCTCCATCTTTATGTATATGCAGGTATTTTCTCAGGTAAATTCCTGAAGTACTGAGTGAAAGAGCTGCATGTTTTAAGGCTTTTAATGTAGGTTGAGAAGGTGCCCTCCAGAAAGTTTGTTTAAATTTAATTTTCACCAGTAAGTCTTACAACAAATACTCTTGGTTGTTTTCCTTGAAGTGACAGTCTCATTTCGTTCATTTTCAAGAAAATGTCTATCAGCTACCCAAGTCTGAATAACCAGTTCGTTTATCAGTCATTGTTTTCTTTTACAGATATAAACGCACCTTTCAGGAAAAAAGCTCAGTTCAGTTTGCAAGTCAGACAGTTGTCTAAGTGTTTTCCTCAGGGAGACCGTCTTACTGTGCAGCAGCAGTGTTTTTGAGAGTTTCTTGTTTTGTCACACAGAATATAAAAAAGACCTATAGTCAAGGGTTGAGATTTAAGAAAATTAACGGTTTTTGCTACTTCATGAAGGATGTTCTTAAATGAAACCAACTCCCCCACCCCCTTAGGGCCGTGGTGGTGAAGGATATACAGATTGAAAGCACGGCCGGGATTAGTTCTAGGAACCAAGCGCTCTTACCCACCATTGCTTTTTTGATATCTGTGAGAATGTCAACACAATTTCAAGGCAAATGACATCTCAGTATTATTATGAAATGAAATGAGACCTCTTGGATATCTGAAAGGGTGTCAGGACCCTCCAGAGGTCTGTAGACAACACTTTGAGAACTTTGTCCTAAGCAGTCGCTGTGTACGCTGCTTTCTGTCACTCCCTTGTTGGCTAATTGAGTCTGCTTCTTAGCTTTCCAGAGCAGTGTAGCAATGTTTAGTTTTGCTCAGGATAAAATTAGAGCATCTCATGGAGTTAGAGTCATGTTGCTTTTCTGTCATTTGTCCCCCATTTCAGGTTCATCGGTGGGTCAATTATGAGTCCATGCTAAAGGAGTGCCTGGTTGGCAGAATGGCGGTTAAACCTGCTGCTCCTAAAGGTAAGTGGGGCCAGCGCTAAGCTGGCATCGATGTGCGACACGCTTGTACTTTTTTTAACTTGTATTTCAACAGATAGATTTAAATAAATGATTATATCGTTCCCCTTTTCACTGGCCTCCTGTCTAGCCACTGTAAAGGTTTGCTTTAGTTCTGCTTTAGGATGAAACAATGACTTCATCTGAAAATCTTGATGTGTTTTGAGGGAAAATTCATAGTGTGAAGAATAGTGGGAGTGGAATAACTTTATTTACTCCTTATTTAGTTTTCATTCATCTTTTATTCCGTTGTTACACAGGTTAGCTAGAACACTTGGTTAGAGTTGACTTTTATACTAGTTTTCTAGAATTTAATTTTCTGAATATGTAACATATTCACGTGACTCAAAAATCAGAAAATATAAAAAGTTAGTGACATTTTCCCTCTCATCTTTGTCTCCCATTTGCCTTGAACCTTCCTGCTCCTTGCCTCTTTGCCATAGAAACCCACGTTCTAGTTTTAAACTACTTTAAAAATACAACCGTTTCTTTCGCTTACCTTCTGACCTGGGGCTCTGCAGTCTGCGTGGTGCTGATCTTCTCTTTACCACCTCAGCTCCTTGCAGAAGAGCACCCTTTGAAAATTTTAGACATGCAATAGGAGGAACGGGGCTACTTTGCTTAATCCTTTCCAGTAGAAGGAATGGTAGTTGTTTCTTTTGAGTAACTCTTGACTTTGACTGCCCACGTTGGGAATAAATTGGCTTGTTCAACCCGAGTCTTCTACTATTTATTTAGTTCAGTGAGTTTTGTAGTTCAAGGCCTTATTGCCAGAGGCCTCTATCAGCAGTGTGGAAGTAGCCCAGGCATACCTAGCTTTGAACCCTCGCTCCATGGCCTATTGGCTGTGCACTCTTTGGGCCAGTTTCTATCTCTGAGCCTCAGTTTTTTAATCTGTACAATGCTTCATAGGGCTAAGAATTAACGTAAGTAAAGTTCCTTGCACAGGGAGTATAGTAAATGCTCAGAAAGGATTATTTCTTTTTCTTTCTTTTACTATAAAACAAATAATCAATATGTATGTATACCAAAAGCAAAGTACTTTGAACTTTAGTGTCTGAAGATTCTTCCAAATCAGTTTTCTTTTGTCAGCCAGTCCCTTTCTCCTCTTAATTGGCTCCTAAGTTCACTGATTGACTGCCAGCAGAAATAATATGATCTTAACTAAAATTTCTAAATGGCTAATTTAACCTCATCATGAACATTATGTTTCTTATTTGTACAATCTGGTACAAAGGTCACACGTTCTTCTGTGATACCGTTCAGGGTAATCAGAAAGTATGCCAGTCCTTAGGCTTGTGTTCCATAGGAGACATGAAATTAGTAGAAGGACTTTTCTGGTTTCCTTCCTCCCTTCCTGGAAATGAAAGACAGATAATCCTCAAAATGCTTCAACAAATACAACAAACATTATTTAAAATGAGCAGATTAGTTCACAAGGAAATCCCCAGATATCCAAATGAAAAGGGAGTTGAGCAGATAGAAGCAGCAGCCTGGCGTGATAAGCCAGCTCTGAAGTCTTTGTTTCCCCCAAGCACTTATCTAGATACTGGGAACTTAAGAGCCATATAAGAATTGTAATAGTCACACAGGGGCCGGAAAACCAGATCTCGGGTCTGTAAAGACAGGAGTTGGAACTGAGGTCCCTGCCTATGGCTTGGACTCTTGAAGGTCTATGTGATCAGTGAAATGGGAAAGCTTGAAAAAATCTGTTGAACAACAAAGGGAGATGTCAGGGTATCTTGTATGCCTTTACCTCGTTTATGGGTGATGTTGAGGAGGAAAGAGAAATTTCCTCTGAGAATTTGTAACCATAGTCCTGCCCACAGAAGAGTTGGGAATTCAAATGTATACCACCTATGTGGTCTCAGAAACCTCAAACCAAGAAATAAAATGGTCTCTCATTACTGGTTTCCTGGGCTGCTTGGTAGATGTGTATAGATTTTTATTGGTGGAACACACTTTCTAACTAAAACCCTCAAAATTCCCATAGGTACAAATAAGACAATTATTAGTGTACAATAAAAAATTAGACAACACATGTGGAAACAAGTCAGCAGAAACAGTAGCAGAATTTCACCCCAGGACTTCATTATTCATATACAGAATAAAAATAATTATGTTTGAAATGTTTAGGAAAATAAGATTGAATGGGTAACATGAGTAAAAAACAAGAGATTGCTAAAAATAATCATGTAAAATTGAAAAAAAATAAATAGAACTTCTAGAAATGAAAAATAGAGCTGATGAAATTTAAAAGTACATGGCATGAATAGTCAAAGAGTTTAGACAGTAAAAAAGTTCAGTGAACTGTAAAATTGAGCAGTAGAAGTTATACAGAATGTGGCACAGAGGAACAAAAGGATAGAAAAATATGCACGAGACATGAAGGATAGAGTAAAAAGATCTAACACTTATAATCTGATTTCCAGAAGGACGTAGTAGTGGGAATGAGGAAGAGGCTGCATCTGAAGGGGTAATGGCTGAGAATTTTCCAGAATTAATGTCACAAATCCTCAAATTCATCAAGTTCAGTAAATCCCCAAATGAGATAAATAAAAAGAAAGCCACATATAGACTCTTTGTAGTAAAACTTCAGAGCACCAAAGACAATGAAAAGATATGAAAAACAGCCAGAGAGAGACAGATTTACTAAGAAACCAGTGATTAGTAAAATGACAGCTAATTTACTAGTGTAATTTACTAGTTGTTACAGCTAATTTACTAGAACAATGGAATCTAGAAAGCAATACAATAGTGTCTTGAACATGCTGAGAGAAAATAAATGACAACCTAAAATTCAGTAGCAGGGATGAAATATAGTTAAGACTGTTCAAAAAAACAAAAAACAAAACCATGATACCAAATTCAGAAGGGTTGAGGAAACAGAGTTTCTGACTCAGTCCTAATTTTAAAGAACTAAACTGTTATGAGAATTCCTTCTCCTCTTCACACCCTGGTTCTGGGGAGCGTAAACACATTTCTTACTCAGAATGAGAGATGGGCTCTGAGATACTGTGTACTATTCAAGAATTAATAGTTTCCTTTTTTTTTTCCTCTGTTCCCGCCACTGCTGTCCTATTTCCTCTCACCTTTCCTCGTAGCCACGGGTATGCCTGGCCCCATGGTTCTCCTCATCAGAAGAGCATCATTTAAGCTGCTGAACAGATGGCACTTTGTCTGAAATCACACAGAAAGTTTCCTTTTTTAACACTGTCTAGCCCTGATACTGATTACTGAGGCAGCGTGATCTGTACAAAGAATGCAAGTTTCATAGAGACTGACATGGGTTCAAATCTCATCTCTGCCACTCAGAAACTGTTGGGATTTTTGGCATTGGTTAACAGATTTGAGTGTTTTTTGAGGCACATTTCGAGACAATGTCATTGTGAGCATTAAATGAAGTAACGTTTGCTCACCACCTGGTGCATGAGAAGCAGCAGGTGGTGGGGACAGTGAAGTGGTTGTTGCTGTTGTGGCTGCCTTCGCCCCTCCACTGCTGCGATACTCAGGCTACTTTTCCTATTCCTTTTTGTATCCCTACAGTTATCAGGTGTAAACCAACATGTGCTCCTGTATTTTACCACGAAAGATGGTTCTGTTTCTGTGAAAAATAAAGTAGTAGCATTATTGACACAGCATGTGAGAGTGAGGTTGTGAATCTGTTTCATTCTAAGGCCTTTTTGGATTGTAAGTGTTTTGCTGGGGTGAGGCCAGTAGGAGCTAGTGACGTGAGACAACTTGCAAGGCATTAGGAAGCAAAGACAAGAATTTTACAGATCAGGAAAGCGTGGATTGCAAGTAAATGGATCCGGTTTTCATAACGGAGACTTAGCATCTAGCAAGATATAGTCTTTAACTCTTGACCAGAGCAAGTAGACCGTCTAAAAGGGACAGAGTAATGCGTCACAGCTAAGGAGTGTTGGTGATAATTAAGATGAAGCTTTGTTTTAACAGTACCACTTAGGTCTTTCATCTGTAGGCTGGGACGATCATTGAACTCTGCCTGCCTGAGTCTTATTGACAGAGACTATTAGATGGGGTAACCATGTAATAGTCCAAACTGGGGCAGTCTTGAGAATGAAAGGGGGCTCTATTAGTAAATATGCTGGCATATCAGAGGGTAAACTGTCACTCCCTGACAAGCTAGGGCATGTGTTCCCTCTACAAGTAGAACTTCTAGATGAAATGGGAAAGGATGAAAACAGAGATGAAGTGGGAACAGTAGGTGGAAAGAGACTGTTGCTGACATGAGGCTTTGAGGGGTGGGGGGACAGCGGCTATACTGAAGAGGAATTTTATACATGGGCGTCTTTCAATACGAGACCCCTGACACCATCCTTTGTGGGGTGACCTGCCAGACGCCAATGCAGGGGGGACCCAGAATTGGCATTTTGTGGGCATCTTCACAACTGTGGGGTTCGAAGAGGATAGTTTTCAACTTATCTGGTGGTTTCTAGTGTGGCAGTGGTGAAATGCGTGAGTGTCTAGGAAGAATAGAAAAGCTAACAGCCTCAGAATATAAAACATAATATTAGTGGATCCTTATCAAGCAAAGAGTCAGTATTTTTTTTCTAATCCTTTGTTTAAAAAGTATTATAGTTTGTATTGTGCTTTAGAAAGAGATCGATAATGAATAAAAGGAGAAACTTTACTTAAAAAGGTAAGCTTCAGTTACTGATTATTTATTTATGTAGAACACTTCGTTCTCTGGCAAAGATGAAAAAATGTTCTTACTTTTTGCCCTTACTCGTCCTTTGCCGTCATTGTTGTAGCCACTAGCCACATGTGACTATTGAACACTGGAAATGTGTCTAGTCCAAATTGAGACATGCTACAAGTGTAAAATACTCACTGTGTTTCAAGACTCAGTTTAAAAAAAAAAGAATGTAAAATAACTCATAATTTTTACAGTGATTATATGTTGAAATGATGATATTCTCTATATATTGTGTTAAGTAAAAACTTATTAAAATTCTCTTCCTACTGGTACTTCTTGTACTAAAAAAAGCACTCAGGGAAAAAAATTACTAACTTAGTAGGATCCAGAAAGTTGTGACAGATTCAAATCAATTCACATCAGGCAGGAAGTAAATCATATGAGATAATATATATATTTCTCTAGAAATAAATTACTTGGGGCAATTTTTCAAAATCTGTGAGCCTCTTAGATAAAAACAAATTGTTTTGCATGACAAATGAGATTCATCAAACTGCCAGCTGTGTGGTACACTGAGATAGATTTAATTTACTTGTGTTACCATGAGTTTGCTATTTGTTCTAAGATAAAAAAAATAATCACGACTGCAGTAGCAAAGACAGATGAAACTGACGGGATGAAAGTAAATGACCAAGTGGGGACATCAGTGACCCCTTGCAAACTGTCATGACTGGATTTCTGTCTGGCATTTGATAAACAAAGGTCACTTTGAGGTATAACTTAAATGGTTTTTGGGTCCTTTGTCTTTTCAGGAAGTATTAACTCTAGCACTGGCATAGTGAGAAACAGGATGCTAAGTTTCAGAGGAGATAAAGTCTCATCTTGGCTTTGCTGCTGAAGGGCTGTAAATTTCATTCAGGTCTTTACCTTCTGACTTTCAGTCTTAAATAGGGGACAGATGATAATTTGCTATATCTTAAGATCCTTTTCAGCTATGAAACTATTTTGGTAAACTGGGGAAAATAAACAAAAAGGATGGTCATCGGGCCTCTTGGATCAAGATTATTTTATGATAGGTGAGTGAAGTGGAGGTAATAATGGAATCTCTGGTTGATTGAAAATCAGAACATAAAAATTTGAAAGCTTTGATTTAAGTACTTTGGTTTCTTTTTCTATAAAACAAGGTGATGTCACCTTAACAAAAGTGATGTCTATCACTTTACTACTTGGATATTTTGCGTTAGCTTGTCATTTTATTTATTAGGTTTTTTTAGCTGTGACAACTTGCTGAGGGTTTTATTTTGACCAAATGGTGTACTGCTTGTGGTGATCAAGAGATAATGTGGATTTGTGAGTTGGCTGCCATCCTGAAAGAAATGCCTGTTAAATTTTTTCTGGATTGAAACACTCATAATTGCTTTGTATATACAAGTGAAAGTTGTAACATATTTTCGGCACTTCGGCCATTTAAATTTGGAGTAACAATAATCCTTTTAAGTACTGACCTAGAGAAAAGAGAAAGATAATAAGGTGTCTTTCTTTGGGGTTTTAACATGTATGTCTCATTTATAAAGTATAATCTAATAAATTCTGGATAATTGTGACTAGTTTGGAATTTGATAATTTAGAATATGATAACCTGGACAAAACTTGGTCTTTCCTATTCTTTCTAAAGAAATTAACCAAGATGTTAGAAAAAAATGTTCAAAGAAGTAGGAAAAAGCCCAGTGAAGTGGGAGACAAACACCTGGAGAAATAGCCTGACAGTCTTCAAAGATGAAAGTTACTTATTTGAAGCATAAGCTATCTACTTATTAGCCTTGTTTCTCTCCTCAGGCCTTAGAAGAAAGCCCTTCAAGAACAGGGCTGTAATCTTTCAATCAGTAATATTAACTGATATTCTCTTTGATGTTATGGTATTCCTATCTAACTTTTTTTTTTTAAATCACTGTACAGACTATCATGAAGAAAAGAAAGTCTTAAATGGTAAGTCTTATAAATTTATAGTAAAAAATGAATCATATTCACATGATTATGTGTAATATTTCTTCACAGAATTAGGGTATTAGATTTTTTTAGTACAAGAGATGTCTTTACTTGTCTAAACTTAGAGGATTTGAGAGCGCTTTACAGATCCCTTATTCCAGCCATTACTCTTGCAGTGGTCCCTTCTGTAGCATCCCTGAACGTGTGTTCATCTGCCCTCAGCTTGAACAGCTGTAGTGAGTAGGAGTTCCACCCTCAGAAGCAAGACTGAACCAGTCACCTCCTGTTTGCATACAGGTGCTCTTCTCTGGGCTCAGCGCCTCTGGCGTCTTCAGCCATTCAGTGTGACTTGAAATTGTGACTAACACTTCCTCTACCTCCCAAGAAAGTTTGATGTGGTGGTTAGTACTGACTTTTATGAAATACATGGGGCTACTCTGACTGAACTGTGTTATTAAGGTATGTTTAGAAATAGGTTTTTTTCCTCCCTGTTTCCAAAAGAAAGTTAGAGAAATTCAGCTAACAAGCTAGATTGCCAGATGAATTTTTTTTTACACTTTTTTTTTTTTGATGAGGAAGATTGGTCCTGAACTAACATCTGTTGCCAATCTTCCCCTCCTTTTTCTTCGCCCAAAGTCCCAGTACATAGTTGTATAATCTCCTAGCTGTAGGTCATTCTAGTTCTTCTATGTGGGATGCTGTCACAGCATGGCTTGATGAGCTGTGTGTAGATCCATGTCCAGGATCTGAACCAGCAAACCCCAGGCCACCGAAGCGGAGCATGCAAACTTAACCACGCGGCCACGGGGCTGGCTCCATATTTTCTTTTTTAACTAGAGAAAATAGTCTGTATGTATACTAATTTATGCAGTGTGGGGTTAACGCCTGGAGTTGTTTGTCTGATAGTATAACATTGCTTTACGTGAAGGACTGATCTTAGGCTTCATCTGATGATTGACTCTGATCTGATGATGCTAGACAAACAACCTTTGCTTAAAGGCTAATTACTGATGGACTGGGCATTTACTTTCCCGCCACATATGGCTTCCAGAACCTTTACTTTCCTGTTGCCTTCCTTTGGATTGCACTGCATGTAACTATATCTCAGTTAAAGGTGACCTTAAGAATGGTATATAACATTCCACAAGTGGCCTGGCCAGTACAGTTACCTTATGACCTTGGATCCTATAAGATTATAACATTTGTGTTTATATTTATTAGCTGCTTTTCATATTTGGCTCACTTCAGTCTATGTCGTAAGGCTATATATTTGCACATGTGATCTGCTTGCCTTCTATGTCATTATTCAAACAGCTATTTAAAATACTGAATGAGATAGACTACAGCTACGCATTGCTAAACATCAGGGATATGTTCTGAGAAATGCATCGTTAGGCGTTTTCATCCTTGTGTGAACTTCATAGAATGTACTGAAGGGGAACAGAATTTGCCACCCCAAAATGTGTCTCGTTTAACATGAGGATCATTTTAGGCTGATTATTTCTAAGAAGCAAAAGACTCAGAAAGTTTTTCTTGTTGCCTGTCCCTTAACTGCCTAAAAGAATTCAGATAAAATAACCTGTCTGAGGAAGTGAGCGGTCACCTAGACTAACATGACCTAGGTGGTAGATAGGAACCTAGAAAAGCCTGTGTGTTGGGCTCCTTTCTGTGTTCTTCTGTTTCTCTGTGGCCAAACACTTGTTTTCCAAACATTTCCTCCTTTTCACCTGCCTGTGAATTGCCTGCCTTCCCTTGGAAGTCCCTGACTCTTGCCACCCCCAACATCTTCTTTTATCTTTACCCCACGAAAGTCTTTAAGAGAGCTTTGACCAATTACTTGATTTTCCTGGGTTTCTCCCGTGTATAGATTTATTAAACTTTTGTTCATTTTTCTCCTGTTAATCTGTCTCATGTCAATTTAATTCTTAGACCAGCCAGAAGGACCTAACAGGGCAGAGGAAGATTTCTCCCTTTCTTACAGTACTGATATAAACCTAGATGGTATAGCCTCCTACACACCTAGGCTGTATGGTACTGATCTTATGGGACCTCCATTGTATATGTGGTCTGTCATTGACCGAAATGTCTTTCTGTGACACATGACTGACTGTACTATAGTGTTCCACTAGAGACTCAATCCCTTCGAATTGACCTCAGTCCATCAATCAGCACTTTTGGGGAGGAGAATGTTCATTCAGTCCACCTAACTTTAATTAATTATTTTATTCCTTCAACTTTTCCAGAAGGATATTATATGTAAGGGGTTTTGTTTTGTTTTGTTTGGCAAGTGTTGAAATCAAGACACGTTCCACAGCCTATGACATCATTCTGTTCTAGTAAGTTATGCTTGCGTGATACTGTGTAGTTCTTTAGAATATTTGCAAATTGTCTCATTTGGTCTCTCGTGAGATTGCAGGGCGATTTCATTACCAGTTTGAATTTGAGGAAGAGGAAACAGTGTTTTTCATAAGATCACAGTGCTGACCCTGAGCTCAAATCCAGATTTCCTCGTCCTAATCAGGTCATATAAGATCAAAATTAGCTAATGATTTATGAATTTTGTTGATAGCATTTTCTTATAGAAAGTCAGATTATGATGCATTTATTTTTTATTTATATATCTAAGGGACCTCCAAAAGGTAAATGACATTAATCTCTTCATAAAATATTATTGAGTGCTTCTCAATTTCGTAAGGTTACCTTTTATTTTTTATGAAATTAGAGAAAAATTACATTTTAATTATTGTAGTCTTGTTGTCATACCCGTAGTTGTGTAGTAGAGCGTTCTTCCTAGTGTTCACTGCTAGTTAGTTCATAACTGTGGCTTTGTTCTGTCACCTCTCTGAGACTCCCTTTGTTTATGTGAAAATGACTGTGTTCTGCAGAGTTACATGGAAAAGAGAATCTGAGTAAGGCCTGAGCTCAGGGCTCACGATCAGCCTTATCCAAAAAGATGCGGCTATTTGACATCTTGTGTTTGTACTTAAGCTTGGGTTTAAACAGAAGATTCTGTGGTTAGAAAGAATCCTGAAACCCTCTGAACTAGCTTCTCTCAAAGGTGCCTCCCAGCTCTAACTTTATATAATTACTGTGACTATATATAATTTGAGAATTCCAAGACTTAGCAGAAACTAAACATTAATTTTTTTCTTGCACAGTTTGAGAAATCCAAATATAATTAATGGAGGAACTTTCAAAAGTCTTTTAGCAGCTATACTCTTTTTTTCCAAACGAAAGCTTACAGATGCAAACAATACACTCCTGTTGTGGGAGGAAAATACTTAATGTTGACAGAATCTCCAGAGTTCTTCCATGTCTCAGAGTTTTCTAAAACAATTTGAAAACCACAGCTTTAGAGGGCTTTTAAAATGCTATGTTGATGCATCCCCACAAGAATGACAAAGATGGGAAAAGAACACCATGTGTGAATGAGGTGGTGGCGCAACTGGAACTCGCAGACCCTTCTGGTAAAAAGTGTAAATTGGCACAACCACTTTAGAAATCTGTTTAGCAGTATGTACTAAAGCTAAACATAGACACACCCTACATACCTACCAGAAATTTGGATATGTCTGCTTTAAGAATGTATATATACATATACAAGAATATTTTTTTTTGAGGAAGGTTAGTCCTGAGCTAACATCTGCCGCCAATCCTCCTCTTTCTTCTGAGGAAGACTGGCCCTCTACTTTATATGTGGGATGCCTGCCACAGCATGGCTTGACAGGCAGTACGTAGGTCTGCACCCAGGATCTGAACCGGTGAACCCTGGGCTGCCGAAGCAGAATGTGCAGACTCAACTGCTGTGCCACCAGGCTGGCCCTACAGGAATATTTTTTTTTTTTGAGGAGGATTATCCCTTAACTAACATCTGCTACCAATCCTCCTCTTGTTGCTGAGGAAGACTGGACCTGAGCTAACATCCATGCCCATCTTCCTCTCCTTTATATGTGAGACGCCTGACACAGCATGGCTTGACAAGCGGTGCAGAGGTCTGCACCTGGGATCCGAACCAGCAAAATCCAGGCCACCGAAGTGGAACATGCGAACTTAACCACTGTGCCAGTGGGCTGGCCCTGCTACGAGAATATTTTTTAGTTTATTTTTTTATTATTTATTGATTGATTGATTTGAGAAAGATTAGCCCTGAGCCAATCCTCCCCTTTTTGCTGAGGAAGACTGGCCCTGAGCTAACATCCATGCCCATCTTCCTCTACTTTATATGTGGGATGCCTGCCATAGCATGGCTTGACAAGCGGTGTGTAGGTCTGCATCCAGGATCCAAACCGGGGAACCCCAGGCCGCCAAAGCAGAATGTGTGAACTTAACTGACATGCCGCTGGGCCGGCCCCCCTACAAGAATATTTTTAACAGCACTATTTATAATAGCCAAAAACTGGAAACAACCCAAATGTCCATGAACAGGTGAATGAATAAATTTCAGTACAATTATACACTGTAATAATATTCAGTAGTAAAAAGGAACAAACTACGGATGCATTCAACAGCATGGATACAATCTCAGAAACCTCTAGGTTTGATTTATTGCTTACTATCAATCATGCTTATTTGACATAAGAACTATAATGTTCATCATGCAGACAAAAAAGCCAGACTGAAAGAGAGCATATCTTATGATTCCATTTTTATAAAGGTCAAATACAGGCAAAAACTAATGATGTTAAAAGTTAGAGTACTGGTTACCCTTGGGGGAAGGGCGGTGATTGGGAGGGGGCACAAGGGGGTGCTGGCTACAAGGGTGTGTTTTACTCTATGATAACTCATTGAGTAGTCATCTGTGGTTTGTGTCCTCTTATAATATTTTAATAAGTTTACTGAAAAGAAACATGCTCCATGGATGGACTGTAGCTGTTTTGTTTTTCTTTGTGAAGGCATGCTTCCCAAGAGCCAAGCGACAGATACACTTGCCAGAGAAGGTCCTAGTTCTCCAAGGTACGCGTTCTTGTTTTACTTTTTTAAAGCTAAATCAGATCTGCGTCAAAACATACACATTTAAAACAATAAAACAGTTCCGGGTTTGATTTATTGCTTACTGTATTAATCATACTTTTTGACACGCAAGAACTGTAGTGTCTCATGTATCAGGCATTGTCGGAGAAGGAGCTGTTCTGTAAACATGAATTTTTAATGTAACTGAAGTTTGATCCATTTTAAACACCACAACTTTTAAAAACTAATCAAAAATTTTTTTGGATTATAAAATATGCATTCATGGTAGAAAACTTGGAAGATGTAGAGAAATACAAAAGAAAGTGATAAAATCAGTTGTAATCCATCAATCCTAGATATATACTCTTAATATTTTGTCTGTTCCACCCAGTTTGATTCATATAATACCAATACCTATTCCCATATTACTCTATTTTGATAATATTGGTGTTACAATATATTCTATGAGCAATTTCTTATGTCATAAATATTCTGCAGTGGCACTTTTTGTCTACATTCCATCGTATGACCATACCATAATTTATTCAACAGCTTTTACATAACATAAGGCTTAGTTTTACCCTGAGCTACTGTTGATCCATCAAACAACCTTGATGAATTAATTTCTTGAGTAATGGTATATTGTGACAGGGAGGAGCAAAAGGTCATAAGCATGTGATTTCATAATGCTCCTTAAGAAAATATGTTGTATTGTATTACTGCTCTGATAAAAGAGAATTTTGGTAAGATGTGTAACTTTTATAAAAAGTATCTTGTCAAGGATATTGTTTGTATCCAAGTTGAAACACATGGAAATATTTTAAATTTGGAAATAATTGCCAGTTATATGATGGTAAGACCACTGATTATTTAGAAAAATGTTAACCTAGAGAAGTATATTTCTCACTGTATATTTTAAGCCATGTATTTAAAATCAGGTGTTTATTTTGTCATATTTGTATTTTAAACCACATATAAAGTCATACACTTACTGATTTAACGTATATTAATATATGTGGTTGTCGATATAATTATTATTCTCTTTTTATTATTTTACAGCTATGACTGGTTCCAAACAGACTCCTTGGTCACCATTGTCGTATATACTAAACAGAAGGTAAACATGTTTAAAATCAGAATAAAAAGAGTAAATAATAAATGTTAGCCATGTGCAGATACTTTTCTAAGCACTCTTCTTGTGTTAACTGGTTTACTCACAGCAACTCTGTAAGGTAGATCCTTTCGTTATCTGTATTTTACAGATAAGGCGACAAAGATTAAGTAGTTTACCCAAAGTCACGCAGGAAGTGGCAGATCTAGTATTTTGAACCCAGGCAAGCTGGCTCCAGAGTGTGTGTCTTGACAACCATGCTATAGCGTCTTAGAAAAAAACTGGACCAGGAAGTACTTTATGTGCTTTTCTGTGATTTTTTTAAAAAGCATGGATAACAGAAGAGAGAATCCCAGTTAACGTCACCATAAGAACTAATTTCCTGCATGTAAATTGGAATTCGAGAGACAGGAGAGACTGTACTGCTGTGGCTTAGTATGTTTAAACCACTGTTGGGGTTAAGATGCCCTCTTGAAACTAAAATTAAGGAGTTAATTCATTTACCAAGTATGTATTGAACACCTACTTTATTTGCAGCACTATCTTAGATTTCAGGGATCTCATGATGGGCCAGATACATAGATACTTGGCCTTCATGGGGCTTACAGTCCAGCTGGGAAATCAGATAAATAAGCAGACAACTTAGAACATCTCCAACTGGCAAGGTCCCCACACTTGAGGAAGCATATGGATTCAAAGACAAGTTCTGCAGCTAGGAATTTCTGAGAATGCATGCCACTCCTGTAGTAGCAGAACCACATCTGAGCTGCAGAGCCTCTTTGTTACAGCGTGGTTTGATCATTCTGCAGGAGTGAGCAGCCTCTGCCTGATACAGCCCCGAGGGCCAGAGGCACGGCTTGTCCCGCCTTCCACTCTCTCTTGCTATTGGCTCCTCATCATGCAGTCCAAAACCAAGAGGGCAGGGCCTAGGGAGGTTGGGTCTACTCCCGTTGGTAATATCAGTGAAGCACAGAGGATGGATGACTAAGGGAAGGGGGAAGGTTTCTATGTAGAATAATGTGTTCGGTATATGGTGTAAGTGACAGGTACCAAAATAGCTTGTACCAAGGCTATGTAGAAATGAGAAACAGATGTTTTGGGATAAAATTTTAGATAAAAATTTGTTAGCGAATTTATTTTTTTATAAGCTGAGGTTGAGAGGTTGTGTAATTTGCCCAGCATCACACAGTTGTGGAAAGATTAAAATGAACACAAATATCTTGCCTTCTGGTCCAGTTCTAATGTTTTTTCCCAGATTATTTATTCAGCAAATGTTTATGAGCACTGCTAGGGCCAAGCAATATTCTAAAGACAGTCCCTTACTTAGAGCTTAGAGATAAAGTGAGTAAGGTAGATATTAAGCAGAAACAAATATATAATTAAAATGACAGTATGTGCTTTGAAAGAGAACTGGGTCGTATGAGAGAGAGAAAACAGTAATGTTTATGTAGCTCTTAGATTCTGTAAAGAACTGCCACGTGAACTTCCACTGATCACCTTAAAAGTAGAGTTTTAGAAGTTTGGGGAAAAATTTACTTTTTAATCTTTCTTTTTGCTTTCTGTTTAAGGATATCACTTTAGACTCAGTAATAGTCGATCATCAGGATGATTCCTTTAGAGCAGAAACAATTATCAAGGATTATTCATATCTTATAAATATTGGTAAGTATTCTTTATTAACGGAAACAACTCCAGTTTCCTTTAAGTATGGCAATAACTTGGTCTACAGTCGAGGTAAAATTTTATCTGCTATTGTCATTTTTTTTTTTTTGAGGAAGATTAGTCCTGACCTAACTACCACCAATCCTCTTTTTGCTGAGGAAGACTGGCCATGAGCTAACATTCATGCCCATCTTCCTCTGCTTTATGCATGGGACGCCTACTACAGCATGGCATTTGCCAAGCAGTGCCATGTCCGCACCCGGGATCTGAACTGGCGAACCCCGGGCGGCAGAGAAGCTGAACGTGCAAACTTAACCACTGCGCCACCGGGCCGGCCCATGCTTTTGTCATTTTTGATGAGTTTTTTCCTGTTATTTCTTTATACTAATGAAAGTGCCAGCAGTGGCAGTACCACCTCACCTTTCCCAAGCTCAAACAGTTAGATGCAGTCAGAGTCAGTAATATGAAATATTTGTTGGCCTAGCTTTGTAAGCCCCTTTTCCGGGATACCTGCAGACAAATCTCCGGAGGCCTGTCTGTCCCATGCTCCCACTGAGCACCCGTCACAAGGTGCTAGTGGCCTGTTTCTTGCCAGCTCTGTCATGAGAAGGCAGAGGCAGCAACAAAGCAGCGTGGACTGCAAGGGTCTGTTGTGTCCCCAGCTGCCTGTCCTTTCACGGACAAAGACCAACCTTACACTTCATTTCTGTCTGTTTCGAGAGATTACAGATCTCTTGGAAGAAAGAAATCATGACTAAAATCTGGAATCAAAGATACCAGGTTCTTAATTGATTTCTCACCCATAGTGACTCTAGGATTTCACCCTTTTCTCCTTTTACAAAGATAAAGTTTTTCTAGTTAGAAGGTAGAAATGAAACAAACAGCAACACCATGAAAACCACATTTTAAGCATGCATTCTTATGTAAAGAACATTTCATTTACTTCTGCAAAACAGAGACTGAAATTCTCCAGACCTCAGTGAACTCAGGGCTCAGCTCACTGTTTTACTATGTTAATGAAGGGCCTTTAGTCCTGAATCTGATCAGAGCTGATAAATGTTTCTTCTTTCTTGTTTTTCCCCATTCATTAGATTAACCAACCTCAAAACTTAAACCTGTCTTCTAGAAATATGTCCTATTTTTTGTTAGCATAAGAGCTAAGGTATATTGCCTCTTGTGGGAGAGTTTTAACCAAACACTCAAATATCTAGAAAAGTATATATCATTCACTAGCACTGTCATGATTTTTCTTAAGTAAGGTCTCTATGCCAGCATCTATTATGTTTCAAATACCTTGTGTCTAATTTTGCTCACACTGCAGCTAACTATATCTAGCACATGTATAAAAAAGAAACCAAAATTCTAGTCAAAAATATGAAACACTTGGTTGCTAATGTTGGATTGTAAGGACTAAAATAATGCAAACTTGCAAGTTCCAGATAACCATTAACACAGTGAATTTAGAGCAGATGTTGGTAAAAATATTTCTTGCATCTCCCCCTTTTGGAATGTAAGTTCCATAAGGATAGGGTTTTTCCTTTTTCACTAACTGTTGTATTCATAACCCCTAGAAAGTGCATGGCACACGTGGATACTCAGTAATTTTTTTCTCAATAACTGAATTAATATTCAACTTTAGAAAACAATAAGAAGGGAAAAGCTGAGCCCCACGCCAGCCTGCCTCCCCTCCCGTACCTGTGTGTATACACACTGGGGCGTGCGGGCTTCAGGTGCTGCCGCTCTCCCTGCTCTGCTCCCTTCTTGGTTTGTAGGATAGTCAGACTAGACCCATACTCAGGACTAGTGTGCTGACCCCCTCGTGGGCAATTGTTTATTCTTTAATTAATAGAGAAATGGAAAAATTGAAGAAATGAGTATATATTTAAATAATTTGACTCTACATTTTGGTTGTGTACAGTTTCTTTTTTTTGGTCTCTCAGAATGTGTTTTACTTGTCTTGAGAGATTTGAAATGGTGCATAAAAGAATCACTTAAATGATCTTATATGGTGTTCACAGACTGTATGAATTGAAGTTGGATTTTAACTAAATATACTTTTTGTTCCCAGAGCTAAGCCACGCGGTTCAAGGAGATTTTTCTGGTAAGCTACCAAAAAATAATTATGTGTGTACATACATACACACACACACACACACACACATATACATACAGATGGGGAGAGAGAGAGAGAGAAAGTCAGCATTTGTCTTATTTTTCATATCTATATTTTCATTTTGCGAAACAAAGATGTGATGTTTTCTTTATAAACAAATACATTGGTTTTTTTTTTAAAGATTGGCACCTGAGTTAACATCTGTTGCCAGCCTTCTTCCTTTTCTTTTTTTTCTTTCTTCTTCTCCCTAGAGATCCCCAGTACATAGCTGTATATTCTAGTTGTAGGTTCTTCTGGCTCTGCTATGTTGGACGCCGCCTCAGCATGGCCTGATGAGCGGTGCCATGTCCGCACCCAGGATCCGAACCGGCAAAACCCTGGGCTGCCAAAGCAGAGCACACGAACTTAACCACTCGTCCACGGGGCTGGCCCCTAAGTTTTAAACATATTCTTCTCTCTCTGGTTTCTGGATTTTTTCACCATTTTTTCTTTCCCCTCATTCCTTTCATCTCTTTGTTCTTTCCTTTTCCTTAGGAAAAACTTCCTGTCTCCTTTCTATTCCTCCTCCTTCATCTCTGCTCTACTCCTGACATGCAGCTTGTGGAAATATAGTGGACCAGACAGATTTTTCTTAGTTGTATATATTCAAATGTTTAATGTTGACAGAACATATTAAATTATGAATATTGCTGCATATAAATACACAATGTGGATTTTACACAGCTATTTAACAACAGAAGACTCATCATAGAATGGTGGTTTCTTATTTTTCTTGTTTTTTATTTTTAGCTTTATGGAGATATAATTGACAAAATTATAATGTATTTAAAGTGTACAGTGTGATGATTTGATATATGTATACATTGTGAAGGGATTCCCACAATCGAGTTAACACATTCATCACCTCACAGTTAGCTTGGTTTTTTTGGTGAGAACATCTAAGCTCCACTGTCACAGCAGATTTCAGTTATACAATAAAGTATTATCAACTGTACTCACCATATTATACATTAGATCCTCAGACCCTATTCATCTTACATCTGAAAGTTTGTACTCTTTTACCAACCTCTTGCAGTTTCTCCCACTGCGCCCCCAGCCCTTGGCAACCACCATTCTACTCTGTTTCCATAAGCTCAACATTTTTTTTTTTTAAGATTCTACATATAAGTGATACCACGCAGGATGTGTCTTCTGTCTTGCTTATTTCTCTTAGTGTAATGCCCTCCAGGTTTATCCATGTTGTTGCAAATGGCAAGATTTCCTTTTTTTTAAGACTGAATAATATTCCATTACATATGTATGTGTATATTTTTAGTATATGTGGTTTCTTGTTTTAAAGTACTGTTGGAATACCTTACACTGGTTCTGTGCCTGCCTTTTTCTATATCCCATAGTAAGCTCTGTAAATTGTGTAAATTAAGCTGTTTACAACTAAGGACCATGTTTTTATGTTTTTTAAACTTCAAATTAGTGCTCATTTAATTGAATTCATTTGGCTAATCTATCTTAAAAAGTTGTTAAATTGTTACTGAATTATGTGTTTACAGTGAGGAAGAACAGATAGATTGTTTCTAAAGATGAAATGTACTTCAGTCTTTAAAAGCACATTCAATCCATAAAATTTAATCAGTATATAAAAGTCTGTATTTTATTATTATACCTATAAGGTTCTACACTCTTTTAATTGTTGAAAAATAAAAAGATAATCTAAAAGGGTTTTAATTATTAAAGGTTCATGTGCACTTTATAGGAACTCATTTTCCAGAGGCTTTTTCTGTGTTTATTAGGCTCAGTAGTGATCTACTGAATTCACTCCTAAGACCCACTCAGATCCCAACTAAGAAATGTTAGAAAAGTATAAATTAAATTTGCTTTTGTGGGTCCCTTCTGTGGCTAATTTTTATATGTCACCCTCCTTTTTCTTTTTTTAAAGCTGTGTGGTAATTAGTTGCCATGGCTATATTTGAGCTTGTTTGAAAACTAGGAATACGTATTAGTTTGCTCCTTGATAAATTCGTTTGAAAGAAGTTAATCTGAATTTAAAATAAAGCTAGATTTAACAGCATATATAAGGTATAAACAATTTTGATGAATACATACGCAAAATGTTATTTAACTTACTAATGATTAGTGTCATTCATATCAGATCGGGACATTTGGATTCTTTGAGAAAAGTAGGTTTTAAAATAAAATCTTAATTTAGTATCAATGAATACACATGGAATTTCTCTTCTTTTCAGTGCGTATTGTTGAGAATGTAGGGAAAATAGAGATTGTTCTAAAGAAAAAAGAGAATACTTCTTGGAAATGTCTTGGTCATCCCCTGGAGAATCATAATTCACTTGTTCCAAAGAAGGATGCAGGTATGCTGTGCTGTTATTGAGTTCTGTGTTCATGAAATTGTTGTGTTAGTGGCACAACTGTGCCAGAGTTTGGAAGGCCACTTTGGAGTGAGTCAAAGGGTCCTTGTTATCTCCCTCTAAAAAGTTGAAAAGTGACATTGTATCTGTTGTCCACTTTTTTTAATTGAGAGATAATTGACATATAACATTATATTATTTTCAGGTGTGTAACTTGATGATTTGGTATTTGTATGTGTTGTGAAATGATCACCACAATAAGTCTAGTTAATATCTGTCACCGTACAGTTACCAAAAAAATTTTTTCTTGTGATGAGGACTTTTAAGATCTACTCTCTTAGCAACTTTCACATATGCATTACAGTATTATTAACTGTGGTCACCATAGAGTACATTACATCCCTGTGACTTACTTATTTTACAGCTGGAAGTATATAGCTTTTGACCCCCTTAACCCATTTCACCCACCTCCTACTTCTGGCAACCACCAATCTGTTCTCTGTATCTATGAGCTCAGTATATTTGTTTCTTTGTTTTTTAGATTCCACATATAAGTGAGATCATACAGTATTTGTCTTTCTCTAACTTATTTCACTTAGCATAATGCCCCCAAGGTCCACCTGTGTTGTTGCAAATGGCAAGATTCCATTCTTTTTAATGGCTGAATAGTATTCCACACATCTTCTTTATCCATTCATCCATCAGTGGACACTTAGGTTGTTTCTGTATCTTGGCTTTTGTCAACAATGCTGCAGCGAACATTGAGGTGCATATGTATTTTCAAATTAGTATTTCATTTTCTTCGAATAAATACCCAGAAGTGGAATTGCTGGGTCTTATGGTAGTTCTGTTTTTAATTTTTTGAGGAACTTCCATACTGTTTTCCATAGTGGGTGCACCAATTTACATTCCCACCAACAGTGCACATGGATTCCCTTTCCTCCAATACATGTTATTTCTTGTCTTTTTGATAATAGTCATTCTAACAGGTGTGAGGTGTATCTCATTGTGGTTTTGATTTGCATTTCCCTGATGCTTAGTGATGTTGAGCATCTTTTCAAATACCTGTTGGCCATCTGTATGTCTTCGGAAAAATGTCTACAGTCATGTGCCACATAATGACATGTTGGTCAATGATGGATGGCATATTTGACGGTGGTCCCATAAGATTGGTACAATATAGCCTAAGTGTGTAATAGGCTATACCATACAGGTTTGTGTAAGTCTACTCTGTGATGTTCACACAATGACAAAATTGCCTAATGACACATTTCTCGGAATATATCCCCATTGTTAAGAGACGAATGACTGTATTCAGATCTCTGCCCATTTTTGATCAGACTGGTTTTTTGCTATTAAGTTGTATGCTTTTAGAATCAGGTTCAAAAAATCGTTACCAAGACCAATGTCAAGGAGCTTATTACTACCTGTGTTTTCTTCTAGGTGTTTTTATGGTTTCAGGTCTTAGATTTAAGGCTTTAATCCATTTTGAGTTAATATTTGTGTATGGTGTTAGATAGAAGTCTAGTTTGATTCTTTTGTGTATGGCTGTTCAATTTTCCCAGCACCATTTATTGAATGGACTGTCTTTTCCTGATTGTATATTCTTGCCTTCTTTGTAATAAATTAATTCACCATATATACCTGGGTTTATTTCTGAGCTCTCTATTCTGTTCTATTGGTCTATGTGTCTGTTTTTGTGCTGATAGCATGCTATTTTGATTACTATAGCTTTGTAATATAGTTTGAAATCAGGGAGCATGATGCCTCCAGCTTTGTTCTTCTTTTTCAAGATTCCTTTGGCTATTTGGGGTCTTTCATGTTTCCATAGAAATTTTAGGGTTTTTGTTCTATTTCTGTGAAAAATATCACTGGAATTTTGATAGGGATTGCATTGAATCTGTAGATTGCTTTGGATAGTATAGACATTTTAACAATATTAATTCTTCCAATCCATGAGCATGGAACATCTTTCTATTTTTTTGTGTCTTTTTCAATTTCTTTCATCAGTGTCTTCTAGTTTTCAGCATACAGGTCTTTCATCTCATTGGTTAAATTTACTCCTAGGTATTTTATTCTTTTCGATGCAATTGTAAATGCAATTTTTTCTTAATTTCTCTTTCTGATAGTTTGTTATTGGTGTATAGAAATCCAACAGAATTTTTGTATGTTGATTTTGTATCATGCAGCTTTATTGAATTCATTTATTAGTTCTAACAGTTTTTTGGTAGCATCTTTATAGAGTTTTCTTATGTAATATCGTATTGTCTGCAAATAGTGACAGTTTCACTTCTTCCTTTCCAATTTGGATGCCTTTTATTTCTTTTTCTTGCTCTAATTGCTCTGCCTAGGATTTCCAATACTTTGCTGACTAAAAGTGGTGAGGGTGGACATTCTTGTGTTGTTCCTCATCTTAGAGGAAAAGCTTTCAGCTTTTCACTGTTGAGTATGATGTTAATTATGGGCTTGTCACAGATGGCCTTTATTATATTGAGATATGTTCCCTCTGTACTGAGTTTGTTGAGAGTTTTTATCATAAATGAGGTTGAATTTTGTCACATGCTTTTTTTGCATCTATCGAGATGATTGTATGATTTTTATCCTTTATTTTGTTAATGTGGTGTATCA